CGGACAATGAAAGGTATGAGCCACACGCACAATCAGTTCTGCATTCACACACTCAAAACAGAAACTGCATTTGGCTCTTCAGATACAGCTTTAGGCCTTCACAAAGAAAAAAAAAATCCAAACAAGGCCAAAATTCTTCTTTTATTGCAGCAATTTTGTTTGAGTCAAAACGTTTAAATGGCTACCCCAATCACTGGAAGTCAATCAACTCATTGCAGTTTTTAAAGTGTTAACAGCAACACATTGGAAAGAGACACAAAGAGCGCGCTCCCTTGGTCAAATCCCAGCAGAGCAGAGGGGAGGATCCCAAAAGATTTAAGGAGAGGCCACTCCTAGAGCAGGTACATGGCAATTAAGTGATCAATAAAATAGGCTAAGTTTGATTAAAAGAGATTTATTTACTCTGTCGAATTGATTTTGTATTACTGGTGTTTCATGAAACRCTGAAAGCTTCAGGGAAAAAGTCTGTCCTGAGGTCTCAGAGATTTTCCCTATGAATATGCTATCTAGTGTCAGGCAGAGGAGCTCAAGGGTAGTTCTCAAATGAAAAGCTTTTACCCTCTGAGAACACAAAAAGGTGCAAGGACTATTACTGGTTTTGGTGAATACTAGGGAAAGACAGAGATGATGATAATGTGTTTGATGTTAAGAATCCCAAGAATTTCCCAAACTTTACCTGGAACACTACTGAGAACTGTGCAGTCATGTCTCATTCACACTGGAAGCACACAGGAGGCAGAGCAAACGAGTCCTCATTTTGCAGTGTAACTTCACGGCAGGATCTTGGGCATWGCATTTTCCTTCCTTCCTTGCATGAGAGAACCTGAAAGGAAGCAGCATTAAAGAAAAAAAAAATCTTAAAAAAACCCTGGAAAGCTATTATCTTTATTTCCTTTTTCTCTAAATGTTAACAAAGGAATTATAGTGCCTGTTGGTRTAAAACATTAGGGACATTTAGATAAGCCAGGACAGTTATTTTGTAAACTCCCGTGGCTACACCAGTACAAACAGTCTCCTCTGCAGACACCAGCATCAGCCCATCATCCCAACAYACAGATAAAAAAATTTAAATGTTGGTCAGCTACAGATGTGTAAATCCCACACAATTAAAACAGCCTGCTCATGTGGAACATAATTATAGATGCGATAAAGCTAGATCAGAAACTGCTTGTAAAACTAGATGTTAGTAACTTGCACATTACAAATAATTTCATGTAACACTACTGTGTAGATCCCTTTACATTAACTCTGAACACCAGGCACATTTCATCTCACTACAGCTTGAATTAGACCTTCCTTTTAATGGGTGATCAGCACTGTCAGACTGAGCAATCTATTTAAAATGTATTACTAAGTAACATGGCACAAATAATTTTCTCAGACACAGAATTAAACAAACAGGATGGACTTGGCCTTGGACACCTCGTTTAGAGTCTTATCTAATCATCACACCCCACATACCATTCGGAAAAATGTAAAAGGAGTGCAAGAAATTAAYCACCAATATAATTCCTAGATGACTTGTCCCTTGGGAATAGTGTCATTGAAAAATAGAGCCTTGCATCTTAATTTATAAATAAAGAAGACTGGATTCTAAAAATAAGAAAAATACTACTAGACATTTTGTAGGATTTCCAAGGAAAAAATGAGAAGTTGAGAGCTCCATGTGTATGCGCACTTTTATCACCTGTGTAGAGATCTGAGGAAACAGAAGCTCAGAAAGAAGAATTCAGACTAAAATAAACAAGGATACCATTGAATCACTCAAATGCAATGCCACGCTAAAACAAGGTGGCACCAGACAACCAAGAGACAATCTGGATTCAGGAGAAAYGTCTGTGCCCTGTACACTGCTGTGTACACAATTATAAGACTTAGCAAATATGTGAAAAGTAATGCAAGTTTTAAAAAGGAAGACTGAAAAGGTACTTCACTGCCAACATGCTTATTTAAAATAAGGTAAGTTCTGGACCAGAACCTAGACTGTATATTCCTTTCTAACCGAAAGCACTGAAGGGTGGGAGCAAACAGCTGGTTTTGTTTGAAAGACCAGTGAATTACAGGCAATGGATTCCCAGTAAAATTAAACAACAGTAAACCATGGTCTTGGACAGCAGGTGTGAGTGTTACCTCCATGGCTTGTTTGCAGGGCTTTTTAATGGTCTTAAGAATAATTTCAGTTTTAAAACTTAGCACTGAAACTTGACTTTTGCTGCTGGAAGATACATGTTTAATCCTTATACAGCATTACTTTCACATACTGAGGCCGACATCACGGGTAGTCAAAGAATATGTTTAATAAAAAATAATTAAACTTCCATTTGCTCTATAGAACATCATAGAAAGTAATTCAATAAATTACAAATGACTTTTTAAGACGCTTGTTCAACTACAGAAAGCAAATTCAGACTACACAGAACACAACTGGCAAATATTGCAAATGTCCAAAAAAAACCTGGACTAAGACTTGGATCATGAAGCCTGAAACAAGGGATAGAAATACAAGGCAATAACAGCTAAGGTTTTTTTTAGTAACTACCAACACACACTTTATCATCACCTTGGATATCCTTTTAATTTTAACTTCAGTATTAGTGTAATTCTACTGAGGTTTCCTTATAACCCTTAACTTTATACAACCGTATTTGCATATAGTTTAGCTGATAATGGGACACTTTTTTCCCCCCTCTGGATCAAACTGATGAAAAATAACCCAAATATAATTATGTTCAAGTCTACACCAGCCTTCATYACTTGAAACTGTAATTGCCTTATTACATAGAAAGAATCACTAGAACAGTAACCAAACTTACTTGACCATAATAGGAAAATACTTTATTTCATAAATCTGATATAAATTAGGTTTTAGCCACAAGATTTAGGACTTGTTTTGTGGGGGAAGGGTGGGAAGTGATGGTATTGTTGACAYACTCCATCAGCAAACGAAGTTAGTAACTGCTTGTAAAACTTTGGCTATTTCAGAGATGCATCCTAGTTAAATAAAAGTGCTATATTACAAAGGGCAAAATATTAAATATGAAATA